CACATTTCCATAAATCTGCAATCATAAAAAAAAGAAAACCCTAAAACTCCAAAACTTGACATTTTAAAGTTTTTTCCGAACCAGAGTAATCTTGTGAGAAATGACGGTACGTTGCAAACATAACATGCTAACAGCTAAATCAGCTTACTTTTATCGGTGCCAAAATGCAAAAAATATAGCCTAAAAAACGTTGTGTTCAAGTTGCATCCAACAGCACTTACTCCATAGTATAACTAAACTTCCTGTTAACACCCTCGAAAACATTACAGAAACCTATAGTTTGAGTATCCCCCTAATAGAAGCAAGACGTAGAACATTAGACACAAAGCAATTGATTTTTCTTGTCTCTCACATAATTATTAACTACATTTTTCGTAAAGGCATTTAGGGACGGACAGTTAGTGTTGCAAACTTGCCGACTTTTTGTGAGTTAGCTAATTTGGAGCTAGTACTGCTAGATACTTCCTTGGAAAAGATTTGGAAACAATGGGCTGTTTATTTAGGCTGAATAATTAAAAAAATCTAACTTCTCCAATGATACTCAGGATAGCTTTAATAACACCTTACACACATTTTTTAAATATATTTTAAATATTAAAACGTTTAATTATAGAATTCTACTTAATTTATATTTTTAGGGTTTTTGAAATTAAGGGATCTCAAGCTAGATTAATTTAAAAAATCTTACTTCTCCAATGATACTAAACATAGCTTTAATAACACCTAACACCCATTTTGAAATATTTCAATATTAAGTTAAACAATTCTACTTAATTTATGTTGTTAGGGGGGGCCCGTTTCTGAAATTGAGGGACCTCGAGCTACCAAACACCTTGATTTAAGGGTTAAATTAAAGGTTGATTATGGGGATCTCTGAGTACTTGCTTGTCAGGAGGGGATTATGATGTTAACATGTGAAAGATGGAAGAGGAGAATTGATTTTCTAATTGTGGGGAATCATTACAGTATTGGATTGCGTTAAAGCGACGCGCTCTATCTGGCAGGTAACGAGGCGTCGACATTACCCCGAGCCGAGGGGCTGACGGAAAGTCGACCTCACACCTCAGGCCACTGCGTCTCATGGATGTTTAATTATCCTAATTAATTACGGAGGGTCGTATTGAGCGGCTTCTTCTTCTCTGCTGCAGGCTGCATATTTACAGGACTACAATGAAACTGTCAACGGATGTTTACAACACACAGTAACATGCAGCATTTATAGCCTACTTACAGGAAGCTATGAGGCAATAATTCATTCATTATTAAATTATGCTACTGTAAGTTTAATACGATGCTAATTTGCAGCAGTTGAGCGGCAAATTTAAGAGATTTAGCGTCACCTGAATTATGTTTTCTATCAATATAATGAGGTAAGTTTCTATTTAACATACCTGGCAAATTGTTTTGTGTGTACAAAATGTTCACTGACAATGTTTTTATATCAGCTTTACACAGATTCAGCGAAGATTGGTAAAATACAGTGTTGTTTAGTCAAATAAGTACATTTATTGCAGCATACTAATAAGTTCTGTACTTATGTTCAGTTTTTCCATTTCATGCTATTTTATGCTTTTACTCGATCACAATTCAAAAATAAAATTATACTTTCTCCCTCGGGATAAATACAATTCTTTCGTTTACCCCATTGTATTTATCTGACAGTTTACTTTACATACTAACATTGTACATTGAAAGCATATGACACGCTTAAAAAAAACAACACCAATGTAATAATAATTCAGCGGTTTCCAACCCTTCTGGCTTTTTATCCGTAAGGCTGTATTACATTAACCCTTGCTGCATTTCAAATGAGTTATTTACATTTTCACCTCAAAGACATTTCTTCTCCTAACCTCTCACATGGTTTAATGTAAATACATTTAGCATCTGCATTTAACCCAGAGTATAAGGAGCAGCAATGGGGATTAACATTTGTTTATTTCCACTTTTCTACTTCCATTACAGAGCTTGCATCCCTCTCTACGGCACCAAACTAAATATGCAACAACACAAACATCTTTATCTGCTTCACACACACACAGGTTTTTATTTGCATTGGGGACCAGGTTTTTTATCATTACTTCTGGGGACAGCCCTTTCTAGAGGTCCCTTGTATGAAAACAATGTGGTACAAACATACACCCTCACACACATACACACATACTGTTTTTTGTGTGCATTGGAGACCACATTTCTGATCATCACTTGTGGGGACCAGCCTTTCTAGATGTCATAGACTTAAAAACAATGTCAGGTAAATAAACTAAACACAGACTGACACACACATTGTTTCTTATGTGCATTTGGGACTACATTTTCATCACTTGTGGGCAACACCCTTTCTAGAATAGATAAAACAGATATAAACACACACATACACACATGGACAAAGACACACACACACCTGACACCAATACTGTATAGTAACTGCCCACTGCTCCAAAAAAAAACGAAATATGTGTGTGAGTTATAGAATCAAAAAGGGATTTGACGTAAGCACACACACGCACACACACACACACACGCACACACACACACACACACACACGCACACACACACACACACACACACACACACGCACACACACAGGTGGACGCTGACCTGCTGACTCAGCGGTGTGTGTGTGATGACGGTGCTGCAGATGTGGAGCCTCACTAACACACAGATCTCCCTCCTGACAGCAACACACTGATCAAAGTGTTATCAGCAGCTATTCTCGGAGCGCTGACGCCGTTCTTCTGATGTTTCCCTTCTATCTGCCCGCCTGTATTTACCCAACACCTGCCTCAAATCCTGTTTGGTGTGTCGGACATGTTTGTGGAGGATTTGGCCCTCGATGGCCTCGTGTTCTACAGAGAAAGTCCTCCTGAATCGGGGGGGGGGGGATTACATCCGGTTCACTGCAGTCAGCACTGAGCGACTCAGAGAGGAGAACAATTCAAGATTCAGCAGCTCATCATTTACAAGTTGAGACCTGCATTCACTTTTAACAAGGTCAGAAGGAGAGGATTCAAAGCTTTATTTGTCATTTGCTCAAGACATACAGCGCAGTTTCGGCCATGACAATCTTGAGTCTCAAGCTCCTCCAACAATGCAACATAAAATACACTTAACATAAAAGTTAAATACATAATATAGTGCTGAAAAACTACCTTTTGTAAATTGGAAACAAATGCAATATTCTGATCTGAATTAGTGTATACGTGCAACTGATTGAAACAAGTTATATGTCCGTTTTTTGGGTCCAAATAAGTAACTTTGTTCCGTTAGTTACCTATGTTACACAAGTTGACTAAGACACAATGTGGAATTTTGTATTCAAACTGGACACAAACATTGTTTTTTTATGGCTGTGGCTATATGGCATGCATCTGTTCGCAATTTTATGTTGGTATAATTACAAAAACAAGCTTCCATCTAGTAATTAGAAGCCACACTTTTTATATAGTGGCCAAACGGCGGTACTACAACTTATGCGTCAGCCCTTGAGTCCTTGGGCCCAACAAAAACGTTTTCCCATTGACTTACATTGGGAAAGAGACGACTATAAATCAGCAGATCATTTTTCAGCCCTTACTGTCGGCTTTTGGGACTACATTTTGCCAAAAGAGCAGAGCAGAAACCAGAGCCATTGACAGAACATAAACCACTTCATTGTTTGTGCAGTTTGTGTTCATTATTACCAGCCAATGCACACATGTTAGCTGTGAGCTTACAATAGGCCCACTTAATCTTTGTGTTTGTGCTCTGCCAAACACTTCCAGAGCTAAAAACTCAACAGAAACCCAGTTCTTTCTTTAATTTTCCTTCGTTTTTTTGTGTATTTATGAAGTATATTCATTAAACCCCGGGATAAGCTAGAATTTTACACTGAAGTTGAACCGTTTTGACCTTTGCATGACACATTCAGTGACAGCAAAGATATTTCTGCCTGGTTATTATTCTGGCTTCTTTCCTCCAAAGTTATTTTTATTTTTGTTCTTGGCTGACTTTTTTGGATGGTCGTGTGAAAGGTGATACATTTTCACTTTCCTTCTTCAAATAACTTGTAAATCTGAGTGGAAAATGTAAAATCCTGAGCTCTCTGTCAAAAGGTTCAAGCAAAGAAAGAACAAAAATACATCTGATTGTAGTCAGACTATCATGAATAACCTTCTGTGCTGATTATAGACGCCTTTTCTCAGTAAATTCTGGATTAATTACCGACGGAGGATGTCAGAGACGCTGTGTATCGAGGGGTCGAGCCCAAAAATGATTATCCAGCGTGTTAATTGGCAGTCAGAAATCTGCTCATGAATATAAATGAAGAGAAGCGTTGGAGAAAACACACACTGCTGACCCTGAATAACCACAGTCTCAGGGTCTGTGGATTTTGACAGGAAGTGAGCGGCTATACAGAGAAAGATCATTTAATTACTGTGATTATTTATGGTTGAAAGTAAATGTAGGGTCTTTGGTTAACACAAAGTTTTGTTCTATGACATAAAATACGTCAGTAAATACCCCACTGGTGAATTTAAAAACAGTGGTTGCTAACAAGTGTCTAAATTGCCAAACATTAGCCGCCTTTAGCTTAGCGGTGGTGACGTGAAGTCATGTGACCGTGCTGTAGTTCCTTTATAGCCCAACATTAGCCGCCTTTAGCTTAGCGGTGGTGACGTGAAGTCATGTGACCGTGCTGTAGTTCCTTTATAGCCTTTATAGAAAATCATAAAAGTGATGTTCTATGTGGAGATTATCCTGCTGAACAAAACGTGTAAGTGTCACAAACGTTTGTTTGCCACAGAGATTATTGTCTGCAGTAATGAAAAAGCAAAAGTAAAAATCCCATTGGCTTGTTGTCAAGAGAACCCTTGCTATGTTAACTTCCTGTTCGGTCAACAAAATCCCATCATCACTGCACACCTCCGTTAGTTCTGTAGGGTGATTGATAGGCCTTATTCTGACTCACAAATAAGGCCCAAATAAGCTACATAGAGAACATGAACTATTGTCCTACCTGTGCACTTCTTTGGACTCCCCGGTCTCTTGCCATGTTGTCCAAGTTTGCAAACAAAGTTCTCCTCCCAGAACTCTGCGAACCACACGTTCCTGCGGTTGTTGGACAGCGAGCGGCTCTTGAAGTACCGATCAAACGCTGTGGAAAAAACCCAAACATTGTGTTATTACGCTGATGATGTCCTTCTAAATGTCCTCCTCTCTAAATGTAGGGTCCTTTAGTTCATATTCAAATATTTTTCTTTTAGTCTTCCTGGTTTATTCCGGTGGTGACGTGAAGTCATGTGACCGTGCTGTAGTTCCTTTATAGCCCAACATTAGCCTTTTCATTCTTCTAAATGTCTTCCTCTCTTTGTGCTCTGCTTCCTGACTCACCGTCCACAGACACCCTCTTGGGGAGGATGGTGACGGCGCCCTCGGCCACTCGCTCCTGCTGCACCACGGGAGAGATCTTAGACCCCCAGCTGTCAGACCCCACCCACAGGAAGTGACCCGTCAGGTTGTTGCGTTTCGCCGCATCCAGGATTCGCCTGCAGGGGAAACGGAGAGAGTTACTACCCGTTAAATATTAATGACATTTCTGTTCATATTTTATGAAACTGAGAGTCTACAACCATGCTACAGGCTGTTCTGAAACACAGCTGTGTTTTGAGTAATGGTGGAATTGAGAGAAGTACATTGAGTACAGTAAGATTTAGACAGACGTGTTCATTTTACAAATACTTCTATACTTTTCGTGTAATAAGCACTAAACTAAAGTCCAGATGTCTTTTGCTTAATTGTTCATAAACCAAAGGACAGACATCTTGACTTTATGAAAACTGATAGCAGTCCAATGTTGTTGAGACATGTTATCCAATATGAACCTCATGCAGTGTCTTTCTTTCTTTCTATGTCAATTATTAAATTAAAGGTCAAACGAGATGGTCTTTTTCAGTCATCTCTTTTTCTCTGTGAGGTCTCAAGATTCTCTATGCGTGAGATTCAGAGCCTCAGATCAATACTGATATCTGTGTGTGTGTGTGTGTGTGTGTGTGTGTGTGTGTGTGTGTGTGTGTGTGTGTGTGTGTGTGTGTGTGTGTGTGTGTGTCTCCTAGTTCACTCAGATAATTGGAAGCTTGTTATCTTAATCTGCACTCAACAGCCGGTGGATGAACTGATTGAGAATATACACACACATAATGTAGTGTGTGTGTGTGTGTGTGTGTGTGTGTGTGTGTTTGTGTGTGTGTTTGTCTTTAGTGGACGTTGACCTTCAGAAGATGAACAGATTATTTTTACAATTTAGTTTCGAGATATGTCAATAAAACTGAACACAAATAAATTACAGATTTCTTTTGGAGTGAAATGGTAGAAATTGGATTACAAAAGTCTACAGTCATGCTCAAAATGATAATGCTCACATGCTAATGTTAAGCAGATACCATGTTTACCATCATAGTGTAGCAGGTTAGATTTGCTAATTTGCACGAAACGGTGCTGAGCATGATGGGAATGTGATTACTTTCGCTGGTGCTTAATCACAAACACAGTAGAAATTAAGATTTCCGACTGATAAGTGTGCCAGAGAAAAAAGGAAAGGATCAGTAAACAAATTGAAATTCACCCTAAGGGGGATAAAAAACATGTCTGCAGGAAGGTTTACAGGAACCCATTTAAAGTTGTTTACTCCAAAGGGGAAATGTCAGAGATTCTGTAAAGTCTGTAGGCTTTAACTTCCTGGGAACAAGAATACAGAAACAAAACATAATGAAAATCCATTCACCAATCCACAGTTGATGAGATATATAGATAGATTTAGACGTTAGAAGTGTAAGAGCCACAAATACTGTTGGGCTACAAATACAGAACAATTTATTTTCATTTTGTTTAAAGTCTTTTACATTTCAAGCCTCACCATGGCTCTTATATCATCATCGTTATACCGTACGAGTATGATCATTTGTGTTGAGATGATTGACCAATTCACCTGTTTGTCATTTGCAAACTTCACAAAATCAAACTTGTGTGTGTGTTTTTTACCGGATGTCGTCCTCGTTGGCGAACATGATGACGGCGCGAGCGTTGGGCGTCTCGATCAAACGCAGGATGATCTTGTCGAACTCGCCGAGTCTCGGCTCTCGAGGAATCTTTAGAGACTGAGCGATGCAAACCCCACCTGAGAGAGAAATGAAGAGAGACATTGAGTATTCAAAAAAGAGCAAGACTTATTGACAGTCGGATTAGTCAATATTCAAGTTGGAGAGCAACTTATTGTCAGACCAAGTCTTAAATATGTCCTGCATCACATCAGCTCCAATTGCATCCTCAACAAGGACAAATATTAAGACAATAATCAAGGGAACAGACCTTTAACATAACGGTCACTGAAGATCGTTTTTCAAAGATCCTTTAATGTGCATTTGATCTGGTAGAGTACAAAGAGGGTCTGTGAATAAAGTAGCAATACAACAATGTAAAAATACTCTATTAAAAGTAAAATCTCTGCATTCAAAATCTCAGTCAAGTTAATGTGACAGAAGTTAACATGACATTTTTTCCAAAGGCCACCAGGGGGCGATTCCACTGATTGCAAAATGAAGTCAGATTGTATAGAAGTCTATGAAAAATAACCCTACTTCTTTATTGATTTATTACCTCAGTAAACATTTTCCTGACACGTTTATGATCCCAATCTCTAGTTTCAAGTCTTCTTTAATACAGCATGATGTTCATTTTGAAAATTACGATCCAATTTATAGCAAAATAGATGATAAAGCATTGTGTGTTTTGGTTGTGGCTAACTTGTGATTGACAGGTCACTACCATGGTGTTTTTCATCCTACAATTTTAACCCTTTCACAGTTTGTGTTTTCACATCTTTAAAGTTAATTGAAACATTTTGGTCGCCTTGAAAAGGTCTTATTCGAGATGACGACGGCCAAAAAGCCAAACTTGAGCCTCCATAACCTCCACAAACAAATGGAGGACGTCAAAGTTTACTAATGGAGCTCAGCGTAAGTTCAACCAGGAAGACCGTCTTTACTCTTCATTTACTATTCCCATGTAACTACTCTCTCTCCTCTCAATAAGTGATCGGGGGCGTCACTCTCCAGCTTAACCAATCACTTCGCTCTATTCCCAAGAGCCTATCGTAGCGCTCTGCGAAACCTTTTAAATCTGCTCTCCCCCCTCTGACAGCTGTCATTTCAGGTGACTCGACACAACCCTCCTCCCCCCCTTTTCACCTCCTGTCCCTCTGAATCCAGGGTCAAGCTAAGCCAATCCCCTTCAGACCGAACCCAACTATCCATTCACCACCACCAATGTCTAGACCCCAGGGAGGTTTCATCGGATCGGTTCTACCCTCCCGAATGATACTCCTGCACAACGGGGCCTAATCGCCAAAATCACCATTACATTCATTTGTGTATCTCTGCAATAAATATGTATCCTTACATCAAAACCGTCTCTCCTGATTGAACTTTCATTTCCTATATGTCTCAGCACCAACAGTATTTTTTGTAACAAGACGCCATTGACTATGACGATCTGTACACAATCTACATCCATTTAACTGTTAGATATTTAAGTCTGGACCCCAATACTAGACTGGCACCCAAAAGGTAACAGATATCAAGTGAATACAGAATAAAAGCATCCAATTTTACCAAACAACTGAACTTCCCTGAGCTTTCTGAACAATCTTCGTTCTCGTGTCGCTCTGCTGGTTTGTGAAACACATCTTCTATCAGCACATCTCTTATAACCCTTTTCCCATTGTGTGTCTGCTGTAATGTTTTAATTATCTTCTCTGTTTGTATCGTTCTTATCTTCACGCCACTGCTGCTGTGATGTATTACCACAGAGAATATTAAACCGTCATCTGCAGGGGCTCAAACAGAAGGTCAAAGAGTTTATTAATACTGCCAGACACTACTAAACGCTGTCAAATGATCACTAACATCTCACTAATGATTCCTAAATGCAGCATCTGCTCATAATAATGGCTTAAATATAACTTGACTTTGGGTTGATTCATTCTTTCTTGTAGAGCAGAGGATGAGGACGATGGTAAGTGGTAAAAAGGGAGTGTAGTTGAAGATAAGGATTCAACTGTTATCCAATTTTCTATGTTTGTACCTGTATATCTTTATCTCTTAATGACATCTTTGGAGAGAGATAGACTGGGTCAATTCTCTCCATAAAAGCCAGCAAAGAGCCGTTTTAACATCATCACGTGAATGCAACGTTAGGATAACTTGAATTTGGTCCGATTTCCAGACGCAATCGGACCAAATTCATCACATTTTGACAGTGATCAGTCATTTCCTAGAGGTTGTGACACTCAAAACTATTTGTCACGACGTGGCAGATTATGGAGCCCAGCAAGCTATAAAACAGTATATACTTGTTAGGAAAATCTCACTCGTCACCGGCTTGAGCTTCAATCTCAGGATCCATGTGTTTCTGATCCTCTCCAGAATGGAAGTAGTCATCACATACAGAGCATCAACTAGTTCCTGAACAGTGTCCTTCACATGCTGATATCCAAGAGAGGGAGTTACACAGTCACAAGATGGAGGAATACCGGTTCTTGTGATCATACATCCTGTCATCTACAAAATATTGAGTTTTTTCACAAAATGTTGGCTTTTTTCTGGAAATCTCAAAATCCTGACTTTTTTCTCAAAATAATGACTTTTCTTCAAAATCTCAAAAATTATGACTTTTTCTCAAAATCATGACTTTTTCTCAAAATTAAGACTTTCTCAAAATATCTAAATTATGACTTTCTCAAAATATCAAATCTCTGACTTTTTCTCAAAATCCGGACTTTTTCTGAATACTTAACATTTTTAATAATCACTCGTCACCGGCTTGAGCTTCAATCTCAGGATCCATGTATTTGTGATCCTCTCCAGAATGGAAGTAGTCCTCACATACAGAGCATCAACTAGTTCCTGAACAGTGTCCTTCACATGCTGATATCCAAGAGAGGGAGTTACACAGTCACAAGATGGAGGAATAGAAAGCAGTATTCAATGTTTACTTCAGATTAGCTCCACGTCAGAAATGATCATGCTTGTGATATGTCTATCTCCATAGAGGCTGAATCATCATGTTAATCACATAGCTATCATATACCTAAAACAGTCCTGATGCTCTTCTAGGTAATCATACATCCTGTCATGTTCACAGCTACAGTTGGGATACCTTTGTTATCATGTTACTCTCATATTGAAGAGGACATTCAGTATTTTCCCAACAATACTATATATGTATACCGTAGTACTGTTGGAGGGGTTGTATGGACGGAAAAACGGTGCACTTGCAATCTCAGTCATTTAAAGTTCTGATTATTTTCGAGTTTCAGGAACAATTTCCAGTCATGTTAAATATGTTGGAAACAAATATCTCCTCAAACTGTAATTTGATGTTAAATCTCCCATTTGAGAGATTTTTCAGTTCCTGGCATAAAGGGGGCAACACATTCTCACGTAATGACAACAAAATAGTTAAATATCCCGTGCGTTCTTCTTCATTCCAGTTTCATTCGTGTCTTTTAATGTAATGACTTGTTTTTTTCTGCTGCCTGTTCCACGGCTTCCCTTCGAGGTTCAGTAATAAAAGTGGATGTTTTCTCTTCCTCACATCATTAAACTCTCTCGGCCGCTGCAAACACATTTTGAAGTTTGTGATATGGTTCCTGCGGCGCCGCCCCCCCCCGGGACGGATAAACAAGAGCAGCGGTGGAGTTTTGAAGATGAACTTTGTTCCTCTGTCATGAAGAGCAGTAGAGAGGCTGCAGACGAACCTCACACTGAAGCAGCTCCGCTTTAATTGGCTCTGGAGTGGATTCTTTACTTATTTTGGACCCAGCAACGCGCCGACTGATTATTCGCAAGAAACCTTTAGGGAAAAAATAAACTAAAAAAATAATCACTTCTGTTTGGTCTGACCTCCATTGTTTAAACAGCAGAGCCGCCAGAGATTTCTTTATAACTACAGCTTTAGAGTTTAAAAGTTTCTGCAGCAAAGAGAAAACAAGTGAAACTGAAGGTATCTTTACACAACGTTGGACCTAACATGTGAGACATTCCCACAGAAACCACACAGGTATCTTCTGTTTCTGTTGTTACTTGCAAACCAAAAGGTACTTTTATTCAACATACAGTATGTGGAAAACGTTTCATTTTCATTTAATCGTTTATTTGAACCGGGACAGTGCACATTAATGAACATTTTAAACAAAATAATGCTTTCAAATGTAAATGAGCCGGATTTTAGCTTTGAGCTAGTTTCCATCCGTAGTCCCGTCACATACAACATTTATGAACATAACATTTATATACATGGCAAACAGAAATACATGACATGCAGAAAGAGCATGAGCAGCATACAAGCATTTACCACAAGGCAGTACAATGTAGCAGCAACGACATATAAAGTGCAGGAGGAGATACCCCTGTGTTAAAGTGCATTTAGCGGTGATTGCACGTCTGTTTGTTTCTTAAAGGGGACCTATCATGCAAAATGCACTTTTGTACGTCTTTTCTACATGAATATGTGTCCCCGGTGTTCCAGGGAACTCACCAAGTGTCAGAAAACACAACCCTCTCAATTTTCCTCCATACCCAAATCTCTAAAAAAGGGGCTGCAACGGATCTGATAAAAACTGATCCAGATTTGAACACGTTTCTGACGTCACAGAAGTGGTGCTACGGCTATTGGGCCAACTCTCTACCTATGAGGGGAATGTGGGGTTGGGCCACGGCCGGCCATTGCCGCTCGAAAGCGCTGGAGACGCTGTAGTACATATGCCAGGCCTGTAAGTGGCGCTGTAGTCTGCCACAAAAGCAGCGAAGAAGACTTGGTTACCATGGTTACCCTTCTGTTTATTCTCCGCTGTGGCTTTTTTTCTCCCTCCACGAGGCAAGCGTTTGCTCCCGCTGCTTTAATTCAATGCAATCCCTCCCGGTCGAGGCAAGCACTGTAATTCTCTCTGGTTAGTCCACCAGCAGATGACAAACACCCACCTCTCCGCCTCTTCCAAGGAACGAGTTAGGTTTTCTTTCGCCGGTCAAGATGTCCGTTAAAGTTTAAATCTTCCGGACAAAATTTGAAAAATGCCGGTCAAAGGTCTTCTTTGTTATTTATTGAGCTTTAAAACAAATG